GAACCCCCCCCCCCCCCACCCAACCTTTCAGAAAGATAACCTGCAGCTCCAAAAGATACTACAGCTGCAGATGGAAATGAACAGAACACGACGGGTGTCTTATCAAACGATACCAGTCCTAATTTTCAATAGTTATTCAGGTGAATTTGTATTGATCAATGTCTCATCATATTAATGTTTTAAATTATACGGGCCATAGTTTTGGAAGGACAAAGAAGTAGGGTAATATATTGATATTTTACTAACAAACTAACAAGTGCTGATAAAATTATTGAACATGGGGGGTTTTTTGGGGTATTTTTTTCGTAGCAAACCAACAACTAACCCTGTTTAACTGATAATAAAACTAAGTCATTTTGTCTCATTTTTAACGCACTTGTGCACGTATGATTGGTTCCAGTTTAACACAAACATCAGTCTTATCACCACTGAGAAAAATAGTATCTCTGCATGCTCAGATTTCATTTCTCATATTTTGTTTGATATGCTCACATAGCATTTCGATGTTTTAGAAGATGCGATGGACATTTTTATATATCTTTAATCTTTTGTTTATTGTGAAAGACGGAGCTGTCTGCATCAAGGCAGTAAAGTCGAAAGTAAAAAAAAAAAGTGTTTAGGAAAAAACAAATTATATAGAGGAGAAAAATAAAGGCTATCATATCAAAGACCTCTCTATACGTGTCAATTGTTCATAGGTACCAGAACAAGGGGATGTGTTCGTACAGTGTATTAAATTTCAACACATATATGTTTCAGAGATTGCTTCATAGTTTGAATAAAGAAACTTTCACCAGTAGGAAAGTAGGTGAGGTCACTTGAGTCATAAAAGGCATAGCATGAGACTGCAGAAAGAATGGTTTGTAAAAAAACAGAACAAAAACCATGGAAAATAATGTATACACAGGAGAAATAAACATATAAAGTAAGGGAAAATAACATAAGATTATATATATAAGCCAGAGACCCTTCACCTTGTATTGTATTATAAGAACAGAGATTATGACCACAACAGTCAAAATCTTGATATATGGTGTTCTGTGTGCAGTCTTAAAGCAGTGTTGTTTTTCTTCATGACAGCGGTGAATATCGATGCTAAATGTAGATTCTCTATATCATGAATGTTCAAATACAAATAATGGTGGTGAATTCTTATAGTTCCCCTGATTTGGTCGAATCACGATGATTCTCCCTCAAAGAAATCAAGTAGAAAATGAAAGTAGGGGGAGAGAGAGAGGTAAAACCTACCTGTCTCTTCTTGCGAAAATGCAGGAACGCTTCCTGTAGGCTATTCTTGGCTTTCTTTGGCATTTCGGTTTGTTCATTGACACCTCCGATTTCAACCTCAAAAGCATTCGTAAGTTTCATCGACTCGGGGTCTACAGAAGTCGCCGAGTTTGACGGATCACTTTTCAAATTGGTGTTGCTATTAAAATCGGAGTTTAAAGAACAGTCCGGCGGAAAGTCCAAATCACTCCCAATGCCCATACAGGTTTCACTACCACAACAATCATGAAAGTTGGTGTCTGGGTCTGCTGTCACACATTCACTCTCAGTCTCGGTCAGTGGCTGTGCGGTCACATTCCGTCCTTTCACTTTCACCTCGACCCCGTCAGGTCTTACAGGTTCATTCTCTGCGGCCCCACAAGTTCCCTTCTCAGCACCAATCGTCACACAATTGCCAAAATCTTGAACCGTATTGTCTTTTGTCACGGGGATTAGCGTATTATCTGTATAAGCGTAAGACGATTTGCAACGGTTTACATAATCGTCGCTACAATGCGTTCCCGCCATGTTGTGTGTAAGTGTGAGACTTCGAGATTCGTTTTACCGTGAACACACCTCGACCACGATAACACACCCCAGTCCCAGATTAAATCTACACTTATCATAAACTTAGACAGATATAGGTCGGGATTGATTTTTTCACTCCAGTCTGGAAACCCAGTGCGTGCGGTGAAGCGTAACTTCGTCATTCCGTTTGTTTCAGTGGAAGAGAAGACGCCATTTATTGTTTACATACATAGCGCCCCTAACGATACCGCAAACAAAACACGCCTAGACATGTTTTAAAGCTTATGCGTCATTGGCTGAAAGGAAATCGAAGACCCAATCATAGAAGGCGGCATAACAGTTCCAGATCAATTCTTCCTCTTCATGGGAGAGTACAAGGTAAGGGAAACCACCCAGTATTTAACAATTGACTCATTAAAAATTACAGTGGTTGTCTCGCTTGGACAGTCCGTTTGGGGAAATTCAAACCATTCAGAGTGTGCACTGAGCGGTGTAAAATATACGCCCTTCAAAAAACAAAATTAAAAACTCTGAAAGAAAGGAACTGAAAACAGAGAGCGTGTGTATTTGTGTGTGTGTGTGCATGTGTGTGTGTGTGTGTGTGTGT